TATATATTTTTTTAACCTGAACAGGTGGTCTAATGTAATTTTATTTGTGCACATGAATTGTTCAAATATCACAGCAGAGAAAGCAGTTGGCATCAGTTGCCTGCTACTGTTATTTTTTTTAAAACAAATACAAATTTTGTTAAATTTTTCTCAATAATAAGGCAATTGAATTGCTACATTTGTTTTTATTGAATCGTGGCGTAAATATGGTGTTCCATTATTTGTTGTAAGAATTTGTTCCATGTTGCTAATGATTTCTGAAAGTGTGAATATCTCTGGATAATATTGTTCAATTTTATATATCTGAAAAATACGTCATGATTTGTAGGTTTTGAATATTGTACATCTTAGATACTCAACACTACTTAAAATGTGAGGAGACAGTTGTTTGCTTTTGTCTGTCAGTTTATTTGGTTTATAAAAAGTCTTTCAGGCATTAATTACTCTAGTCATCTATTCCAAATAAAAGCTCTGGGGAATAAATCAATAAGTTCAAGAATAGTCTGCAGTCCTTTGAACTATGCCATCCAAGGGAATGTTGTAATGAGAACTGGATGTTAGCACTCAGAGTTATTGATAAACTGCTTGATAGAATTCAGAGATTTCAACGCTGTCAGCCTAGACAAGAAATTTTCAATGAGAGATTGATATTTTGCCTAATATAGTCATCTTGTTAACAGTTATTAGTTAGCATAATCCATCTGAGATAAATTTGCCTAAAGCAGAATGGCTGACTGCACCTTAAAGTAGGCCAAGGGACTGACTTGTCCCTGAGGGCTGGACTAGGTTCCAGCAAAACCCATTTTATCTCCCATATCTTCAGGATATCTAATCTAGTTGTTTCTTTTCTTCCTCTTTAGCTCTTAAACAGAGCTTGAAAACTTATTCATATACGTTTTGAAGAATACTCGATCCATATTGCAATAACTCACTGGCAAATCAGTTTGATTCCTGAAGATGAATAGATTTAAGATGTGTATTGTATCCTGCTATTTCCGTTAGCTCTCCTGCTGTCACTAAAATTTAAATACAAACCTGTTAAATTGGTATTCCTC